CAGTCGTGCCGGCCTAACTATAGCTAGCAATTCAGGTGTGGGATTGTCAGTCTCGTATAAATCTATATACAAATCTCACGCTCTCCCTCCAGGATACTCTGGTTATACTGTATATAGGATTTAGTTTCGTACCCTAATGGAGATGATTGAAGTAGTGCCTGACAACCTTGTATTAACTAGTTTACGTGTAGTGTTGTAGTGTTCTCTTGTACCGGAAATTATATGTATTGCCTTGTATTAATGTACTTTGTAGTGCAAAATAATTATACATAAATATTTATTTTAGTTGTGTATCCTTGTACCAATGTATTAGAGTTTTCCAAACTATGTTTATTATAATTTGAATATATGTTCTTGTTCTATGTATTGTACTTAGCAAAATAGTGTAGTGATTCTCAAACTATACCAATTATAGTTTAACTATAATGTTCTGTAATGTACTGAAAACATTTGCAATCTAATTTAAGAAGTAAAATACCCTTATGCACAACATATTACAAAAGGGTTAAAATATATGAATATGTTAAAGAAATGTAGCGAATACTCGGTTTGAATCAATTGCAAAGGTTTTAAAACTTGTTTGAAAACGTTTGTATAAAAACAAAAAAGTCTTTGTGTTTTACTTGTATCCCCCCCCCCAAAAAAAAAAAACATTGAAAGTGTAGGGATATGAACTCAACTCGTATGTGCGTTTGAGATTGAATATCGAGCTGCAAAAACGATCATCGGACTAGCGTACGCATGAACGACGTATCCTAAAAATAGTTATATTCTACGCTGTATATAAATTTAAATAAATTTTAAATAATGAAATAATAATAATTAAAGTGTTAGACAACACCTTAATTATGTAATGAATACTTACAAATTTAATTTGAATTATTTGAAATGTTGAAAAGGGGTTTTTGGTTGAACAAATAGAGTTTTTGGTGAGTGTTTGGGTGATTTTGGTGTAGGCTTGAAGATTTGAAGATCTTGTTGAAGGTTCTTGGTGTGTTCTTGGTAAAGTTATGAAGATTTGAAGGAAATCTGAGCAGAATCTTATGAATTTTGAGAGCAAAATGGAAAGGATTTCGGTGGGAAAAGTAGGAAATGAATTGAGTGTACGGCTATATATATATATGGGGATAGGGATAGGGAATATACATTACAGCCCCACCTAAGCTTAGGTACTAAACCTCTAAAATATGTCATTTTAACATGCTAAATATACCCGGTTTGGTTTCACTTGGTAAATATATCATTCTCCATAACATTTCTTTCTTCCATTATTGTTTTATCATCTCCGTTTTCTTTCCTCAATTATCGTTTACTACTTCATCCAATTGAACATTACTAAACCCTAAACCTAAACCTAAACCCTAAATTTAAACCCTAAACACTAAAGCTAAACCCTAAACCCTAAATCTAAACACTAAACCCTAAACCCTAAACCCTAAACCATAACCCTAAACCCTAAACCCTAAACCCTAAACCTTAACCCTATAACCTAAACCCTAAACCCTAAATATAAACCTAAACCCTAAACGCTAAACTCTAAACCCTAAACCTTATTGTGTCGATCTTCAATTTACATCTTTAAGTATTAATTGTGAATCCATTAACCGTAATGTTTATATAGTAAAACAATGTATTTTCAAGAGGTTTAGTACCTAAGCTTAGGTGGGGCTGTAATGTATATTCCCTTTTCCCTATATATATATATATATATATATATATATATATATATATATATATATATATAAAGGGGGTGTTCAGTCTTAATGGGCCAAAATTGAGTGTTTTTGGTTGCTAAGGAGCCCAATTAAGGGAGTTCGGTCCAAAAAGTAGACCAAAAAGTGAGTTTTCGGTCAAGAAGTGGGACCCTTCACAGGTTGTTCCCGGTGCGAATCCGAGATATGTTCTCAGTCCGAGGTTGAGTGGTTTCTCGCATGTTCTCGGTGGGAAAAAGGGGTTCTCTGCCTATTAGTGGGGTCCAAAACAAGGGTTCTCGGTCAAAGGTTTTAAGTCCCTAAATTTTATACATTAAAATATTAAGGGATTCCCATAGCCTCATTTATTAATTTAACACTATTAAATCAACAACTCAAAATTTTTGACTTTTAATTTATCAAGTTTGAATTTTATTGACTTTGGTTTGACTTTTCTTGACTGGAAATAACGGGTTGTTACATTGACTCCTTCAAGTCACTAACTGAGCCATTCTAGAAAACGGGTGTTACAACATGGCAATGACTAAGTCATCAATACATGTGTTAATCGGAGAGCGATACATGGCGAGACAAAGTCTATTAGATCATCATGACATGGCAATAGATGTACCACAATGTAGTCTGAATCAAGTAACCAAGACACGTTGTGGGGGAGTACGACACATGGCGAAACCAAATTTTACTTGATCACTGTGATGTAGCATGCTGTGTGCCACGATGTGGCACACTGCAGAGTATAAATACGTGAGTCTTGTGTCATTTTCAGAGGTTTTGGCATGCGTGATCGAAGATGCTGCTTGGAAATCGCTCTAGGGAGATTGTGATGGAGGAGATATACCATTGTACAAGATATACGGGGTTGAGTACGAGATCCGTTGAGGTATCTTTTACCCTATTAATTTGTAATTATGATATGTGATCGATATTGAGAGTTGATAGACCGCAGTATATGTTGTGGGTGTCCATGATATGGCACTATTATAGACACGTTAGTGAGATTGTAACCAAATCTTACAACTAAAGATTTTGTCGAGACTGTAAGGGTTATAAAACCTAATATTTGAGAAATACTTGTTATGAGCAAATTAACTAATGACTTACGATTTACAACTATTGAGATCATATTATAAGATTTGATTATTATTATTATGACAATAGGTCATAGGGAATGACTAATAATAAGTCATGACAGGATTTGAGGAACTTGTTATTTAATGAATAGGTGTTACCATGTGATGAGCTGATAGGCAAGGGAGGATCAAAACTGAAATGGTAATCAATCTGCCAACTAAACAAGTGAGTAGCACTACTCTAAAATCCATTGACGTGTTATCTGTAATATACATTACATGATTTATATGATTAATTATTATTGAGTAATCAAATGTTATTTGAAAATTTGATTATACTGAAAGGTTGATATTTGATTGAAAATTGATCTTAATTGAGAGATGGATTATTAATTGAAAGATAACTTGTAAATGATATAGATCCTCGATGAGACAAATTCCGATTAAGACAGATTATAACCGAGAGGTAGATCACATTAAAAGAGAGATTATTTCTAAGTAATTGTTTGTATTAGATTTGTGATATATATGATATCTATGATATATGATATGCTAATTATATAGAGATCTAAATAATTTATAATTATTTAGAAACTATTCATTACTGAGAGATAGATTTTATCGAGATCATGAGTGAGGAATTAATCATACTGATAGATAGATTATAATTGATAGATTTGTCATGACTAATAAATAGAATATGATTGTGTGTGTGTGTGTGAGAGAGAGAGAGAGAGAAAGAGAAAGAGAGATCTTAAAAAAGAGATTAATTTCCATTGAGTGAGATAGATATTGATAAAGTTATTAACTTCGAGATAGTTAGATCATGATAGAGAGATTTATTAGCATTGAGAGATAGATTACGACTGAGAGATAGATATTGAATAAGAGACTAATCATGATTGAGACAAAGCACGGTTGAGAGACTGATTATGATAGAGAGAGTGAGAGATCATTACTAAGAGATAGATCACATTGAGAGAGAGAGAGAGAGAGATCATTATTGAGTAATAGATCATTATTGAGAAATTGATTATTATTAGAACCCATAAGAGAGCATAAGAATACCACTAATTGTTATAATTTATTTGTTACATATTAGTGATGACTACTAATTGCGATATATGTGATTTATGTGATTATGTTATTGCAACTATTATTCACTAAGTCGACTTACGTTTCTGTGATAATTATTTTGCAGGTAGATTATTGTGACGTCTGACTCGATCTTGTACTTGAGGTTAGTATGATCTTTGTGGTAATTTCTTGTATACCATAGTATCAGTGTACACCAAAGTTATTTATAAATTTAAGTGAGAAATGAATTTTTTTAGGATGTACCTGATATGAAAATCTAGGCGTTACACATGGTACCCTCAGTGGGAGCGGGGGTGATATTGAAACTCGAGGCTGGGATCGAGGGCGCGAAAATGGGAAAATTCTAGGTTGAGGTCGAGGTAAGGGAAAAACAAGCGAATTTGTGGGTGGGAGCGGGGAGGTTATTTCTTCTTCTATTTGACCTCGTTGGCATTTCTATTTATCAAATTATCAAATATATTGCAAGTAATCAATTACTTTAATTAAATTATGTACTAACAAAAAAAATTGTTTTTAATTAGCATATAACTTTATATTTTTGTAAATGTAATCGGCTCCCATATATGTAATAAGACAATATTACTTTATTTAATTCCATATTTTTTGGTTTGATTCCTTTCCATTAGTAAATTGTTGTGGATTCTATTCCACCATTTCCTCACCCTTAATCATTGATTGATTCCCCTCCTCATCCTCCTCCCTACCCCTACAAAACCATAATTCCTTTGTATCTGTTCTTCACTTGATTCATTACTTGGATTCCTATTTTTAATTCTTTTTCAGCATTCGAGAACAAAGTTATCAAAAATCATCTGTTCCAGCTGCACTTATGATTCATCTGAAGAATGCCTTGCAGATTCTTCTTCCTTTTTCCTAACAAATCCAAGCTTGAATATGGAATGTGGGAAAAAGAGAGATAATCGACAAAAATCTTCTTTACTTTTCAGCTAAACTTTTCAAATCGAAGAGAACTTGTAGCTTTATTGAACTTCATCTGCTTTCGCTGGTAATTTAATTTCTCTTTTGTTTGTGTAATACTGAGTTGAAATGAATTACCAATGAATCCGTGTCATTCTGTTCTGCAGAGATGTCTACTACCGTTATGAGCGATGCGATGGTGATGCCTGCAACGGAATCGCAGTCGGTGGCGACAAAACTGATAGCTCCGACGACGGAAGTGGAGTTTGTGGAGTGCGATTGTTGCGGATTGACAGAAGAGTGCACGCCGGGATACATAGAGAGGATTCGTGAAAGGTATCAAGGAAAATGGATCTGCGGATTATGTGGAGAAGCTGTGAAAGACGAGATCGTGAGGAACGAAAGGTTGATCAGTACTGAAGAGGCTATGGCGCGCCACATGAACTTCTGTAGAACGCCGATCTCATCAGGTCCGCCTCCTGATCCAACAATTCATTTAATCGCCGCCATGAAACAGATTCTCCGGCGGAGTCTGGATTCACCGATCTCCGTTAGGTCTATGCCGTGTAGTCCGACAACGAAGAACACCGATAGTGCCGGACTTCCTCGATCGGAGAGTTGTATTCCGAGGCTTAGGCTTGTTGATTCAACCTCCTGCCATGAATCTGAAGAAGACAGAGAACAGTCAAACCAGATGCAATACATTTGAATCTCCTTTTATCTAAACATAGAGCTTTTCTCAGATTTTCTGAATAACATTTGAATCCATGCTTATCGAATACCATTAAGGCTAAACCTATTTCAAGTTAATATGGATCCATAATCCATTGCTTTTCATGAGCAAATAGTAAAACAAAGTCAGAAATTTTTCCAAAAGTAATTTGTTTTTTTATTGTTTTACAAATATCACATGGATATATGTGTGTTCCGGCTTACCCCTTACCACAATTGGCTCCGGCTGGTGTTCATGAATTTCTAATTCCCAACACAGCCGTCGGGAGGGGTAGATGGCTGTCGGTACCGTCGTAGGCACAAATCCGAGCAGGAGAGGTACCACCAATTAAAAGCTATTGCTAGTGTTAACTAACCCGTGAATTTACTCGCTCTATTTTCTTTTTTCTTAAAGTCATTTTTAAATTTTTCTTTTTAAATTTACCCATATAAATACATTTTTATATCATTTCAAAACTACACATTTTCTACCGTTCCATTTCAATTGTTTTCCATTTCATTGCCACTTTCTCCGATTTAAATCAAATTTCATATGAAATTGCTGTTATTCCTAGGCCAATCCAAATATGCATAAAATGGTCCGAACAGGAAGAAGTGGTGTTGCCGAAGGTATACATTGACACTTTCGAAAATAATCAGAGAAACCCACAATGATAGTTATATATCATTTTAAGCAACACTTTGGGGGTTCGGATCCTTCAATACATCAAATTGCTTCTGAATAGAAAAGTGTGCGGACAAAAGTTAATGAATTTAATGTTATTTTCAACCACAAGATGAATATTCCAAGCCCGATGAACTGACAAGACAGTGTGAGTGATTTGGTAATGAACCGTAGGCCTTCATGAATCATGATTTAGAGGTCTATTGTTTGGTAATATTATTGTTAAATGAGAAAAATTATCATTCTAACATTCTCACATAAACAATTTCAAAGAACACAATAATTTAATTCACAAATCTCTTTCAAAACATGAAGATTTGTTATAAAAAAATTAAATTTCAATAACATATTTGTATAAATACTCAAATCCAACAATTAAGTCGAATATAATTTTACAACATTTAAATCTCAATAGCTGCTGCTAGCATTTGAGATGGATGCATTGATAAATTGTATCTTTAAAAACAAAAAAAATGTTCATCTGCTAGCATTTGAGATGGATTGAGAAATTGTATCTTTAAAAACAAAAAAAAATGTTCATCGAACTTTCTTTTTACCAAGCCCTAGTGTAATTGATTAAGGTGGCAGAAGAGATACACACAGATGCACAAAAGAAGGTCTCAGGTTCATCGTTTTTTCGTTATTTTTCATCAAGTTAAGAGGGAAACAGGGAAAACAAAACATGTAACTTTCTTGTTTTTTTTTTGCTTGCTCTCTTTCTTTCTCAAATTTTGGAAGGAATTAAAAAAATGAAGAGATGTTCACCAAACATGGTTATTGATTGAGAAAGACGCAAACAAGGTCAGCACACACCCACACACAAATGATCGATTGAAAAGTAAAGAAAATGAGTTGAAAAGAAAAACAAGCATCATGAGAGAAACAACAGGGGTGGGAGTAAAGAGAGAAGGGGATGTGTTTCTTTTAGGTTATGGCAAAGATGAGTTTTATTACAAAACGAAAAACGAATGATTCAAAGTCTTTTAGGTTATGGCAAAGATGAGTTTTATTAGAAACCGAAAAACGAATGACTCATCCCTTGTTTTTCATCTTTTAATGTTAGACCATTGAGATGTTTTTAATGGAACCATTAAGAGACTTGACAAAGAGGCTCTAACTCTTTCATACAAATTAAGGGGGTGTTTGGCTTAGCTTTTCAAACCCCAAAAGTCCTTTTTGGAAAAGTTACAAAAAGTCAGGATTTCCTGATTTTTCCAAAAAGTTGCTTTTCCTTATGTAAAAACTTCAAAAGTAGCTTCTAAAAGTAGTTTGCCAAACATCTTTCTCTTTTTTTCTTTTCCAAAAAGAACTTTTGGCTTTGAAAAGCTAAGCCAAACACCCCCTAAGTATAAGATTATGCAAAAATCCAACATTAATGGACAATAGGTTTTTGTAATATAAATGAAAAAGGTTTTGATGAAAACCCATGGAATGAAACATAACAAAGCATCAATAACATGGTTTTGTGTATCCTACTTGGTTGTGATTTTGATCCCAAAAGTTATATAAACAAATAAGAAATATACTTAAATAACAAGAAATTTTTATAATTTCTCTTGAAGCTTTGGCTTTGAAAAAATTTCGATTCAAAGTTTGGACCTAAGGTTGATTTTTTTTCTAAACCCCTTATATTTGAACGACGCTTATATGTATATGTAATACGTATGGAACTTCAGAGTTCAGAGTTTTAACTTTATTTTCTTTATATATTGAAAGAATACACAAGATATCACGAAACCCTCTTAAAACCAAATAAGGAAAAGACGATCTTTCACAAGGACCCATGTCCCAAATATCAACAAATACTATTGGTGTCTTAACACTTATAATAATATAATATAATAGCATTTTGTACCATATATAAGAAGTTGGGATGTGTCCAAAGTCAAGAAATAGTGCTTAAAGTGGAAAGGTGGAAAATGGTTGTGTTAGCAAATGGATATAAATTTGTTTGTATGTCTGTGCAAGAAACCAACTCACATGGTACCAACTACAAAAATGAACACCACATTAGGACCAATCATTTCAATCTTTTTGTCCTAATAAGAATCATTTTTTATTTCTAATTAATGATAATTGGTCATAAATTATTAAAATGATACAGGTTTATCCTTATGTTTTCACTTACGAAATTCTAAATGATTTTTAAATATTTAATAGATTGTTTGGAAAACTATTTAATAATTGATTTTTTTAAAAAGTTATATAAAACTAAGGGTATTCTGCGCTTCACGTCTGACAGAAGTGATATTTAAAAGTACAATGTTTTAACAAAAAACATATGAAAGTAGGATGTTATAATTTAAAATTAGGATATGAAATTATGGTGTTCAACAGTTCCACTATTTCAGAAAGAAAGTAGGATGTTATGATTGACAAATGAATGTAAATATGTTGCTCACTTTATGTATTTACTGTGTAGTTGACACATATAAGGATGCAATTTACCGACTGGATTTATGAAATGTTATAATATTATATATGTTTCTCTAGATCCAAGTAGCAACTCAATTTTATTAATACAAATGGTGAAAGAATAACATATTGCTATTATTTGGCTATTATAGGAGCATACTTTCATTTCTTTCTATCAAAATAATTGTACCTTCTTTTATCTTAGTATAGCATACTATTCTTCAATATCTCACCATCTTCATTTAGGTAATTAACATTATCAACGTCAAGGGTAGACTCGTCATTTTGAATGTATATTTATATATCTTTGTTTGGTTAACTACATCATGCAACAAATAATTCAAGTGCAAAAAGCACCAAACCTGCAATTTCTAAATAAATAATGTCGCTTTCTTCATATACCATTAAATTTTCTTTGGGGTACTGAACATGTTCATTTTCAACTATACTTTTTGTTTATGCCACACACATACATAGACACACATATAGTTACATACCCATACAATATAGTTACATATAGCATTAAATGTTATGAAACACAACTATATTCATTTCTTTCATTTATAAAACTGTCCAAGTAAGGAAGTCTTCTAGTAGAATGCTAGAGATGAAAACTTTTTGAAGTGCAATGTCTGATAAAAAAAATTTAATAGATTTGTAATGTTGCAAAAATGAAACAATGAAGAAAATAGTAAAACATAGTGTAGAAAATAATACATTGCTATTACTTGCAGCCTATTTTGGTGGTTGTTGCTTTTGTTGTTAGTAAGGTTGCAAGTTGGAAAAGAGATTTATGAGATGCCAGTGTGATGTCTTCTAAGTACAATGCTTTAAAAAGAAAAATATAAAAAATGTAAGGATTTAATAGAAAAAAAAAATAAACAACAATGTTATAACAAACAGAGAAAGTAAAGTACCTTGATATCACTTGCAACATTGTGCAAATACATCCCCTAATTTGTTTATAAAAAGATAATGATACGAGTATCTCATCTATCTATTCACTTTTTTATAAACTTCTTTCATGACATATTTGACATAATAGAGGTTAGTGCAGTTGGTAAATCATGAAATGCCATCGATGATTTTTTGCAGTGGATCAACCTACACATCATTGCTTGATGAACTTTCCAAATCTACAATGAATAAGCATCGAAACAAATAAATAGTTAAATCATGAAGAAAATTAAATCAAAATCAAATTTTAATAATTACAATCAAACAAATATCAAACTTTAACTTGTTATAGTAGGAATTTACATTTCATACAAAAATTATATAAAATAATTTTACGCAATTATAAGCTATAAAACACACTCTCACAGTCAGATGCACACACAATCATATACATACACACAAACATTCTACAGTCAAACTACGCCTATAAAATAAAAAAAAACAACAATTATCACACTGAAATAAAATAAACAACCAAAATAAAAAAAAAAGTTATAAATATGTATCTAAATAAAGAATGTAATCAAGTGTGCCATTGAATTCTAGAGTACAATTTATGAATAATGGTTCATTTTTATTAGGGTTAAATCTCCTCTTTTATTTCTTATAACCTAGACAATTAACAAATTTATTTCTTTTCAACAAATGCATTTGGCCATAAGGTGGTTGTTTTTGTGATTATCATTTAAAAATAAAGTAGAAATTAAACAAAACATTTATGCAAAAAATTTTTTTTTTTTCATCTATAAACTACCAATGCCAAAAAAAATGCTTTAGTACAAAATCTACTTGTAAAAATCAAAACCAAAATAAAATAATAGATGAAGAATTGAATCTGCATAATCAAACCTATAAATATAATAACAATCATTCTTAATCGAATTGACAGGAAAGAAGCCCTGCATAGTGACCTATCACTTCAAAAGCATATCCAAATAAAA